TGATCACATGACTTTTATCGTAAATATTGTTTTGGGAGCTAAATGGAAACAGATATTCCAAATCTGTACTAAGCACAGAGCTTTCAACTTAAATTACAGTATATGGTAACACATACCATACACATTTTACATTCTTAAGTTAGCCAGGCAGTCTGTTAAAATGTTTTGTCTTTTACATTCTACACACATAATGTTTGAAATGATGCATTTATGACTTTCTGTCCACTTTAGTCCTGGCCTGTCTTGGATTCCTGTCTCCTGCCAACAGAGGGGCTCTGATGACCTGCGCTGTGGTTCTCTGGGTCCTGCTGGGAACTCCTGCTGGCTACGTGTCTGCACGTCTTTACAAAAGTAATTCTCCACTTTGTATAAAAGTTACAGTTTTACAAAGTAGCTTTTTTAAATAAATAAATAAATAAATAAATAAATAAATAAGTTGTTTTGTGATTGTCACCCTCTCAGTTTAGATAATGTAGGATATCTCAGAGCTAAACCAACTTAGATAATAATTTCCTCGTAACCAAACTTCTTTCTCATTGTTCCTTTCACAATAATTAATTCTTGTCTCTTCTTCTTATCAGCTTTTGGAGGTGAAAAGTGGAAGACCAACGTGTTGCTGACAGCTCTCCTGTGCCCAGGGTTCGTTATTTAGCTTAGCAAATGCTCATATTTCATGTGCTTCTGTTTCAGCAGGTCTGGAGGCTTTACATACTGATGTTATCCAGCATATGATTTACCTTTGTATTGAGTCGCTGTTTATTTTTTTCTTTAGGATTGTATTTGCGGACTTTTTCCTGATGAACCTGATCCTTTGGGTGGAGGGTTCCTCAGCTGCAATCCCGTTTGGTACTTTGGTGGCCATTTTGGCCATGTGGTTTGGAATCTCTGTTCCTCTCACCTTCATCGGTGCCTACTTTGGATTCAAGAAACCTGTGAGTTAGATCTTCAGAGTTCACAAAACGTATACAAATGTTTTTATCTTTGCCTTCTTGTAAGTCTTCATCTTTTTTTTCTTTTTTTTTTTTCTGTTTGGCGCAGGCAATTGAGCAACCGGTGCGGACAAATCAAATCCCCCGTCAAATTCCTGAGCAGTCCTTCTTCACTAAACCCATCCCTGGGATAGTGATGGGTGGCATCCTTCCCTTTGGTTGCATCTTCATCCAGCTGTTCTTCATCCTCAACAGCATTTGGTACAAATGTGAAACAAATCTTCAGATCTGATATTAGATGCTTAAACATGTTTACAGGGTGAATGAATTAAGATTTTTGATTTAGGTCTCATCAGATGTACTACATGTTTGGGTTCTTGTTCCTGGTTTTCATTATTCTCCTGATCACCTGCTCTGAGGCCACAATTCTGCTGTGCTACTTCCACCTGTGTGCTGAGGTACCTGAAAGTTTAGCATAGATTTTTTATTTTTTTTTTTAAATTGTTTTAGCGGACCCTGACTCGCCATCTTTTGTCTGATTCATCCAGGACTACCATTGGTGGTGGCGTTCATTCCTGACCAGCGGCTTCACAGCAGTCTATCTCTTCATCTATGCTGTGCACTACTTCTTCTCAAAGCTGCAAATAATTGGCGCGGCAAGCACTATACTGTACTTTGGATACACTATGATTATGGTTCTCATCTTCTTCCTCTTTACAGGTAGGAATTTTACTTTTTAATGAAAATCGTTTTGTTTTATCCTTGTTGGTGTGTATTGCAGACATGACTTTGTTCCGTGTCTCATTAAATTCAATGGCAGTTTAAGGTCAGTGAAGAGCTTGGGTTGTGCTGTCTATTCAAAGGTAATTTGAATCCAGTGGACAGTCAGGTTACCAGTAGGAGGAGCATTCAAGATCCTGTTCTAAGAATAGACATGAGGAAATTCCTCAACATTTGTTTGCTCTCATTTTAGTGGCCTTTTGTACTTGCACAGATAAGAAAAAGTACCTACAAAGTAATGCAATGAAAAAGGAATGCATTTCAATACTTAAGTTGCCAAATTTAAGCTAATAGTTGTTACACTCAAAAGTGTTTGATTCTGTTCATTCAGATGACAATGGCTTACATCTAATGACCATCCAAAATTAAGTTCAGAAAATTTAAATATAATTTAAGACCAATTAAAAATCATATTTAATGTTATTCTATGGACTGCACAATTATGGGGAAGACTGCTGACAGACAGTTGTCATCGACAGCGTCTTCATCTGGTCTTTATCAAAGACTGTTGATAAAGAGGCTGGCTTAACGTAAAGTTGAGTGGAAAGAATAATGTAGTAAAAAAAAAATCATACCCAATTGGTATGATGGCAGTCCCGAGATGATTCAATCAATCAATCAAGTTTATTTGTATGTGTTAATCCAAAGCAGCTCTAAGCAGGTGGGGTTTTAGTCTCGATTTAAATGAACTCAGTGTTTCAGCCATTTTGCAGTTTTCTGGAAGTTTGTTATAGATTTTATGGTTCATAGCAGCTGAATGCAGCTTCTCCATGTTTGGTTCTGGTTCTGGGGATACAGAGCAGAACCAGAACCAGAAGACCTGAGTGATCTGGAAGTTTGTCGTTCTGTGATTTATAAACTAATAGAAATATTGTAATGTCTGTTCTCTGAGCTACAGGCAGCCAGTATAAGGATTTTTCCAACTGGGTTGATGAACGTTATCTTCCTGATTTTAGTGAGGATGCAAGCAGCAGTGTTCTGGGTCAGATGCAGCTCTCTCTTTGTATATATATATATATATATATTTTTTTTTTTAATCAGGCCTAAGAAGACACTGTTGCTGTAATCAATGCGACTAACAATAAGCACATGAATGAGTTTTTCTAGATCTTGCTAGGACATTAGTTATTTAATCCTAGAAATGTTCTTCAGGTGATAGAAGGCTGATTTTGTAACTGCCTTTATGTGACTCTTAAGGTTCAGGTCTGAGTCCATCATTACACCCAGATCTCAGGCCGGTCTTTATCAAGTCCAAAGTTCACAAAACAATCTACCAGGAAGTTTTAGAGCACTTCCTGCTTCCTTTTGCTGAAAAACTTTGAAATTTAGATTTAATTTTCCTGCAGGACTGTTTCTTACAAGCCACATTAATAGTCTAGATTTTTCCAGTTGCAGATCTATGTGGCGCTGTTGAGCTTTCTTGCCGACTCAAATGAGATTCAGGTTGTCAGCAGAAGGAGGATAATATAAAGTAGGGAATAATGAGCACATACCCACCCAGTCTGTGTGTTGCACAAGATCATTTGGCTCGCCATGATGTTGATGATGACATATGTCCTGGTATTATTCTGTCATTAGGCAAGATGAAAATTTAGTCCATAGCAACGCTCGTCACGCCTGTTCTGGTTGACACTGTCTTGGGTCAGAGCTATAAGTAGCAAGCGGACAAGATGTCGGAAGATTATCGCTCCAAAGTAGTTCTGCAGTTCAGGAAAAAGATGATTAGTTTCCCTCCTTTCTGCGGGTTTTGATTTAAATACTCCTAATCCGTGTCATTTCCTCTTTTCACTTTTTATTCTGTTGTCTCTTTGCCATCTCATCCCAACTTTGATCACAACTTATTTCTGCTGGGGGCTTTGTGTGGCCCCCATTCAGCAGTGAGTCACCCAGACGAAGTGATTCGGGATTTTAACTAAAGGAACGAACGTATGCACCCAAGATCGCTGTGTTTTTGTCACAATATATGTATATATATTTTTATTTTTTATAATCTCTCGATTCCATCTTAATTACCAAATCGATTACAGTTGTCTAATCTAGATTGATCAGGATCCACGTCGCAGAATAACCTCGACATTACATTGAATATACCCTGCACATGGCTAACTAGAACATTTATCCAAATACTCTTTACTGAGAATATTTGTATTCCAAACCCAATTAGATTTGTTTCGTATTGGCATTGATAATGAGTAATAGGACTTAAAAAGATTTTGACTTTGACTCTGGCAATATATTTATATGTTTTTTGCAAACTGTGACTCCAGAAAAGTTCCTTTTTGGACCTTCCACAATAAAGACCCAACTATTTTTAAATAACAATTTAATAATAATAAGAAAAATTAATTCAGGCTCTTTTTTTCCCCTTTCTTTTCTTATTGAATTTCCATAACAAAATGACCAGTATCAGTAATATTTCTGTATCTATATATTCTCTTGTAGCATTCATGGCTCTAAATGAGTTTTCTTTAGCTGGACAGACGGTTGTAATGATTGCAGGTCTTTGGTCTAGATAATAACTTACAATTTGGGAGGAAAATATCTGCAGTTATATAGAGTATTTTTTCCACAAATAAAGGAAGGAAATAAGCTACAATGTTGAAGCTTTATATTAATTCATTTACTTTTGAAGATGATATGGAAAAAGCTTAAATTGTGGTATTACATGCGAAGGCGTTTCAGAAGTAATGTGGTAACAAGTACAAACTATTTTAGTGTTCTTTATGTATCTTTTGCTACCTTGTGTTGAATAAAATTTTCTTGATATGACATCATAGATCACAAAGTCTCTAAAAACGGATCAGTTCATATAATATACATTCCTCTATTGGAGTTATTAGATTCCAGTAAGTGAAATTGGTGATTCTGTTAAAAATAATTATTTCTTGTTTATATTTTTTATTAAATTTGTGTGCCTCATACAACTGAAATAATAGTATAATTGAGGTTTTTAACCCATTTTACCAGGGGTGCTGGTTTATCTCATGATTTATTTATTTATTTTTTAACAAATGTGTTTTTCCTGTCTCCTGCCTTTAGGTACAATTGGCTTCTTCGCCTGCTTCTGGTTTGTAAATAAGATCTACAGTGTGGTGAAAGTGGACTAGAGGACTGAAGCATGGACTAACATCTTGCTGCCACAGCGCTGGGCTCCTCAGTGCTGCCTTTGTCATGAAGTGGTCTAAACGGACCCGAACTGAAACCATCACGTGATAGAAAAACTCACAGAGCAGAGCCCGTCCTTTTTTGTGCTTTAAACCTCTGTTGCTTTTTTTTCCATTTTAAATATAAATATATATGTATATCATATTGTTTCACTGTTGATCCATTATCTTCTGAGTGGCGCCTTGAAAATCAGTGAGGGTTCCAGTGATTAAGTTGGCACCATGAACCATTTGTTTTACTTTCATTTTCTAAAGAAAGTGAAATATTTTAGTGTTTTGCTTTTTCTATTCTTTCATAGCTAAATGCTCCGTTTTTCTGTTCTGTAATGATTTGGAAAACAAAATGTGTACATACGTTGTATAAAGAGGGAGAGTGAGAATGCTTCTGTCACCATTATGAGAGCCTCTTGTGGGGCTTTTTCATTTTCTGCATATTTTTGATTTGTAGGTGTGAATTGGGCTTAAATTCTTTAAATATCAGGCAGTAATGTAGTTTAAACATATAAAACACTGACACTGGTATGATGATGTCCATTTTCTTCAAATTAAGAGTCTGTAGAGTAGAAGGATGATGCAGGTACTGAAGGCACGCCTGTGTTAGAGTGACTCCAGTGTGTTACATATTAAGAATATTTCAATGTGTTTGCTCACAGAAAAAAAAAAATCCAACTTTAATTGCAATGCAGACCATGAAGTTACTTACTATGTGCTCCATTGAGATGCATCCCTTAATGATCTAAAGTGGTTTGTTGAGCTGTTAATTGCATAAGCACCACTGCTGTGTGCTTCTGGCAGTGGAGAGTCTTCATCAGAGGTGGAAACTTTACAAATAAATGTAATTAATTTAAAGGGAACATGGTGGTATTGTGTTTGAGTTACTATAAAATGTCACTTATTTCTACTTATCTCTGGACTTTAGACTACAAGCTCCCATTCAGTAATGATCTCATGCAGCTTTTTCTATTTAAAAACTACACAGAAAGCAGATTGAGATGCATTTCAAACTGTTGATGCTGTAATTCGAATAAGTATATTGCAATATACTGGTGATAAATTAATAGGCATAATTTATCCATCAAATTAAAACTAAGTGTGACTTTAACTGGAGACAGAAAAATGCCTGATTTTAAATATTTCTTGGGCAAACATCAATGTAAAATGACACATTGTTTTTCTTATACATTACATACAGTTTATTATTAAACAACAAACAGCATTTATTATTCCAACCAAATTAATACAAATGCACAAAATATGTAGTTTTTTTTTTGTTAAAGTCTAAACATTTTCTCTTTATTTGCTGCAATGCAAACTGTTCTATTGAAAGACTGACAAGTTTGATTGTCAAATATGTTTTCTCTACTGACCTGCTGGATAAATACAAAGGCAGGTCTCAGAAAGAAAAAAAAAAACATACAAATCTATCACAATATAGTATGAAAAATAACACACTAGGGGCAAAACAATTTTTCCTTTAACAAATAGTTATAGAAATAACAAAACAAAGGCAAAACCTGCTGTTAAAATGAGCCCTAGTCAAGCTTGCGGCTTCCTAAATATGCAACTGTTGGTTGCAGTCAGACATTTACATACACTCAGCATAACCATGAACGCATTCAGGGGTTTAAAATAATATGCTTTACTGTCTGTCCACAATGGAATAATTACATAACTTCAACACTCAGATCAACGGGAAAGTCCAAAGGAAAGATTCTAGATCCTCTGAACAACCAAAGATTTTAAGATTATCGATTCAAATAACTGTACCTAAGTGCAATTTGTTAAGATATGCCATCTTCTGGAACCAAACATTCACTTTTATGTGAAAAGAAATTGGTTAAAATTTTAAGGAACCACCAATACTAAGGTCTGCCATGAAATGGAAATTGCTGGAACTCTGATCACATTTCCACAGACTGTGAGGAGAAAGAAGAACGTTCGCCAAAATGGACGCCTTCTTCTGGAATTTAATTTATGTTTAAATGAAACAAAGATGTTTTGAAGAGTCATGCTGAGGCGTCCGAACCTTCAAAACACTACACCACGTATAACGCATGATGTTGATACCCCCTTTTAGGATTACTGCTGAATTCTTCAACTTCATCCCAAATGAACAACCAGGCAGTTTAAATCTGGACACAATAACATCCAACAGTTAAATAATCCCAAGTGCACCTCAAAACTAGTTGTAGACTGCATAAAGCAAGCTAATCTTAAATTTGGCTTTTTGAAATCCTTGCCCTCAAGTTTACTTAAGATTTAACTACTATGCTGGGAAGTCAATCATTCAACTGTCATTATTTCTAAAGGTGTTTGGTGGATACATGTGTACATCTCGCTAAAGGAGCAATTAGCTTAATTTCAGGGAGATGTATGTGGATATTTTAACCTGTATTTAAATTCCTGTGTAGATTGGAGAAAATCCACAATAAATTCAATATATGCACCTGATTTTTAAAAATATTTAATGTGATGATTATGACATCCTAAAAAAAAGCTGAAAGGCATCACTGCAAAGCTCGAATTAACATAGCATTCATCCCCAAATGAGTGTATGTAAATTTCTGACCCGAGGTACTTCTATTTGCGGCTTTAAAAATTCTTTCTAATTTTTCTTAAAGAGGTATCTTACACCTTTACATGTGCTTAATGGAATGTAAGACATCTGTTACATAAGCTCTCCTGGCGTGCTGCTTGTTTAAAACAACTGGTACATTGTTATATTTTTATCACACGTTGCTCCCTCTGTTGTGTGGTGTCAAAGAAAAATACTCTGTCTCTCTAAAGAAAGGCTGATGCTAAAAAGGCAGCAAATACTGAGTCCAAATTTGACAAACTGAAGAAGTAAAATCTTCAGGTTTTGCCAGAATAAACTAAAAACTGATGTGTGTGTATGTTTGTCCATATTATTAACTAAAGGGAATTATAACCCTTCTGTGTTCTTTCGCTTACAGGCACAGTGAATCATTCTTTCTATTCTCCAAAAAGGCGCTTCAAGACTAAGAGGAGTTGCAGAAAATAAATATTTACAAGCTAAAAATTGAATTGATATGGGCACATCATTTTTCTTAGTCTGCGAGTAGCACCCTGAGTTGATATGGTGTAAATAAAGCTGTGCCCTCCAGCGTGCTTCACATAAAACACACTAAAGGAGAGGTCTTGCTAAGCTGACAATTAATTCAAGCTATCATTGGTTTGTGTCAGAAAAAAGATGATATTTCATTTTAGGGCAAGGTCTGGATTGATTAGTTAAAGTTAAAAAATGTTTTAAAGGTCCATTTTGAAATTCAAACATCAGTAATTACAATATTGGATACTTGTGATAATGGTTTTACAGACAGAACATGATGACAACAGCAAGTCTTGTACATACAATCTATGTTGTAACTTTTATAACTGCATTTACATATTAAAAACCCCTCAGCCGGTTTTGATACTCTTGACTGGATAAAACTTTTCCCCCATTGGAGAAGCTTAAAGGGATAGTTTGGGATTTCTGAGGTTAGGTTCTGATAATATCTTAACTGCAGTAGATAACTCACTTTATTTAATTTAAATCCAGATTAGTTGGCTTAAAGATAATGGCTGCCAAAAGTGGTCTTCTGCCATCTTAAAATAACTCCAGGCTCAAAATCTGAAAGCAGTTTTTTGGAGCACCATTTTATAAATCTTTAAGCCATTGTCATCTACACTATTAACACATGAGCTGTTGATTAGTTACACAGGAAACAGAGAAAATGAAGGGAGGAGGCAGTGCACCACCAGCTATTTTCTTGTACTGGTAACATAAAATGTATAGTATCTCCTATATGTTTCACGTTATTTAATGGTGACAATGTTTCTTTAGAATTTGTACACATAAAATAGAAGAAAATACAGTTTTTAGTTAGTTACCATTAACTAAATACTCTAAATAATCCAGTTGAGTTTTCCAAATTACAAGAAAACACTTGGATGTGATGCCTTCACCCAGATCAGAGCTTCAACTTCCTATACAAATCAAACAGACTGTAAGCACCAGTTTCTGTGAAAGTAACCACCCAATACCAACATTAGAGCAATTTAAAGGTTCATAAAACTGTTTACATAAATGTTTTTGCTGTTTAAAGACGGTAGGAGTCTGCTGCAGTTTAGAGAGTTACCTACTGCTATTAAAATATTATCTTCTTATTTTAAGGAAACCTAATTTCAAAAATCCTGCACTTTCCGTTTAAGACAAACCATCAAACGATCGATGTATTCAGTACCACCGCTTACAAGCTCAGCAGGCTAGATCCACATTTATCGCCTCCCATCCACAGAAACTCCTCACATAGGAATAAAGATTTCCTTGTTGATGATTGCAGTGCAGATCATGAGCTTTGCTGGCCGTGAACAGGAAGCTCTCTCTCTGAGCTGAAACTGGTAGAGGTGGTCTCTCTGCGGCTGTCTCTTGACTTCCTCTCACAAGTAGGAGAGGAGGACGTTGTGCACTCTTCCCAAGTCTGCATGGGGAAAACTCGAGCAGCCAGACTGGGGAGGTGAGGGTGAGCGTTGGGCTGTCCCTCCGTCGAGGTGAAGCAGCCCTCCACCGTGGAGCTGTGACGTGGACGACCCTGCTTGCAGAGCATCCCGTAAAGCAAAGCCAGGAACTCTTTTCTCACGCTGCGATGCATGTAGCCATAAATGTACGGATGAAGGCAGCACTGCAAGAAGAAGAGCACAAGGGCAGTGGAGGACAACCACGGGGGCACATTGGCTCTGGTGTTCACTGAAATGGTATTGAGAATGCTGTAGGGACCCATGCTGAAGATATATGAAGCCATGATGACAAACACTACACGAGCTGCCTTGCAGTGGTAGTGGAACCGTCTGTGTTTAACTCGAACAGGGTGTCTTCGGGCTGTGTAGGGGCCCTCAGGTGAACTTGCCTGCTGGGGTAAAGAAAGCTGCTGCGGACTGGTGGGGCCCTGAAATTCCTGCTGGCACGGCTGGGAGTATGATTGCGTCTGAATGGGATGCACTAACGCATTCTGTCTCCTAGCAGCTCTAAACACCATCCAGTAGCATCCAAGCATGATTAGCACAGGAAGCCAAAAGGAAAAGGTGAACACCACAGCAGAGTAGGACAAGCTGGAGGACCACACCACTGTGCAGACCTTGTAACGACGGTCAAAATCTATGGAGCCCCAGCCGTAGAGAGGGGGTGTGCTCTGCAAGACGCTCAGCACCCAGGTGGCAATGATCAGGTTGGTGCCTAAGTGTGGGGTCATGCGGGTCGGATAAGATAGAGGGTGGATAATGGCCAGGTAGCGATCTACTGAGACAACAATGATGGTGTTGACTCCAGCGAATGCAAAAAGGTGCATGAGCACCACCAGAGCCTGGCACAGCCGAGCATCCAGCGGCCACACACCCGGCAAGGCGGCCGCAATGGCAAACGGCATGACTAAGACAGTCTGGAGGAGGTCTGCCAGGAGCAGGTTGAGGACAAAGCGGTTGGCGACGTGAAGGAGCTGAGGCTTCCTTTGGAAAACCAGGAGAACGACCACGTTCCCAAACAAAGAGAGGCACACAATCACAGATATGAGCACCACCCTCACCACACTGTCAGCCAAGGAGGACCAGGCTGGGTCCTGACTGGACAGTGTGAAGCCATACTCCAGGGGATCATCAGTGAAATTGGAGCCCAAACCAGGTGCCTGGGAGGATGACATCTTCCAGCTGGCACCCAGCAGAGTGTTGACACAAAGTCAGGTCAGTCCCATACTGATCATCACCTAACACCAGCCCATCTGCTGCTGTGGTATTCCTTCTTCAGTGGGTTTCAATACACATCTCACATTGTTTTTAAACGTATTTCATCCAAAGTGACAACATCACCCGCAAGGCGTGAAAGCTGCCCACGCGAGTTATCCACGAGCAGATGAAGATAACCCACACTGATTCGCCGTTCATGGCGATCAGTGATTAATCCCCGAAGGCTTCACCCGACAAAAACAGGCCGCTTCTTCTTCATTTTCTTCTCCTTCTCCTCCTTCCCGCAGCCGACATCTGCAGAATGAAAAATGGAATTTGGCGACAGCAGATGCCACCGTCCCAGCCTCCAGCGGACAGAAAATATCACCAGCCGCTAATCTGTTACTGATGCATAAAACGCGTTGAGATGATCAGCGAGGCGATAATTTGCCTGATGATGCCGCCTCCTCTGCGCTGCGCTCGGTTTCCATCCCTGCCTCGGCTCCAGTCATCGGCGGCGTGTCTTCACCCAGCGGGGGTCTCTCATCCAGACGGGCAGATCTTCTCCGCCGCGGCTCTTTTCAAGGCGGATCGTTTATTATTTTTATCTGCTTCGATTCCTCCTTAGCAGTGTTAGGCTGCTTATAGTCGGATCTTGTCTCCGAGGTGTCAGAATGAAGAAGAAGAAGAAGAAAAAAAAAAACAGGACACCTGTACAGAAATCTCCCCCCCCCACCGCCGCTGCTGGAGCTCGACACCAACCGCCTTCCTCCTCTTCTCCCCCCCCACTGTTGTCATGAATGTGAGCACATTTCAGCATCTGCAAGGTGTATTTTATACATCATAGAAGCACAAGAGTTAATTGTGTTATCCTCAAGGATTCATGTCCGTTTTTATAATGAAAAGGAACATTTTATGAAATAAAATATAGTACCTGTTAACAAAAAACAGGACTTCAGTTTTCACGTCACAAATACAACTGTGTTTTATTGAGATGAGGTGCACAGGGAAGACAACATACACACGTTTTTAAAATGTGTATAATACAGTTACAAATCTGAAAAGTGTGGCATGCACTTGTAGTCAGCCCCCCTTGGTCAACAAAATGGCTGCATGTACTTTCTGAACCACCAAGGTTATTGCACTGATGCAGAAATTGATGCCAAAGGAACCCTGACCAAGAGCTGTGGTACAGAACATGGCCAACTTAAAGTAGGCTGACAATTTCTATATTAAAATCTTCTATCATTTTCAACAATATTCTAATTAATTGTGATGCACAAAAGCTTGAAGAGAAAATTAGACTTATAAATATTGAATTTCTAATTTTATCAGCTATAAATTGAGAAATTATCAAGAAATTATTGATTGTTCTGTTGATGAGGGGCTGATCTAAACCATCGTCTATTTCAGTTTTCATTTATTTTTTTGCTCTTATGATCCATCATAGGATCCAGGAAGCATAATTCAGAAGGCATTGAGATTTTATTGCGCTGTATAAGTATTTTTCAGTAGCTAACAGTTTTGTATTTGTAAAAACCGATTTGGTCTTACACTGTATGTAGCTTTCAATTTTTTTCTGAGAAGCTGCATTTTGGATTTTTATTAGCTATGAGCTGCAATCATCAAAATTTGCTTAAATAAATAATTAAAATACTGAAGCTACTTTTACTTTTTGAATGAAATTACAACAAACAAACTTAACTGTTGTTCTAATTCTTTGAGCTACACCAGTGTTTGAAGTAGAAATGGAATTCCCTCTGAAGACTTTGTTTACCTTTGTGCTCTTTAACTTGGCATCATAATAAAACATAGCCTAATTTGTCAAGCTTGATATGTACCTAAGACTGAGGTTTTAGCCTCATAGACTGAAAATAAAATAAATTCTCTGAGACGTTGAGGGAGTGACTGGTGGTGTGTTGGGTTACACATAACTTAGTTCAGATCCAAAAACCAAAACATTCAAGTTTGTATTTGAATCTGGGTGCATATTTATGTGTGTCTCTATTTTTACTGAGGTAAACAACAACAAAAAAAAATTTGCTTCAACATTTCAGTCTTTGTTGGTTGAAAAAGAGAGGCTTCATTAAAATGCGCAGAAAACAAAAGCCGTTCCTCATTGTGCAATCCAATTAGTCTGTGGCTTACATGGCCTACTAATCAACACTAGTAATTAGCCATTTTATTTCAAGTCTGTGCTCTATCCCAGCTATCAAAAAGCCCTTTGATGTGTCTCTCGAACACCCTGTGTTGTAGATTTAGATTGCAAATGAAATGCTGGTGACCATAAAGCGGTGGGGAGATGTTTCCCTGTTCCCATGTTGAATGGCCTGCGGTTCAAAGGGAGACCCAGAGGCCTTCTGTCTCGTGGGATTATTAGCCGCTATGAATGCTCACAGTGTCCCCAAGAACTGATGCCACTGCCTCCAGGTCATTTTCACCAACAGCTATGAGCTAACGAAGTTGAACAGACGATTGAAAGGAGGGATCAGCATTGCAGCTTGGTTGGTAGGACATTACATCCCCCCACCCCCCCGTTTTTTTTGTTTTTTTTTTGAATTTCCACATGTAACAACATGAGAATGTTCAATTATTTCATGTCTTTTTCTGAAAGGACTAAAATGTATAAATCAAAGAATGTACTGGTTTGCTTCTGCTGGAAAAAAAATAATGAATTCAAGGTGATTTTTATAGAAATGTTAATTTAATATGATCTAAAATAAATATTTGACCAGCAGGGGGCAGAAAAAGCAACAAAACATCTAGTATGCAATGTTCAGTTCATGTCACAAAGAGCCTACTGCTGACAAGACTGCAACTTACCCCTGGCCATCAAATTTTTAACGCAACAATATATTAAATACTTGGCTTCCTTTTTGTGACATTCTTTTGCATTACAATCACAAACTTTGCAGTAGGAGTAAATTTTACACGACCTTTTGAAAAATTACTAATCTGAAAAGTGTGGCAAAGATCTGAGTTCAGCCTCCATTTCCTCAAAGAAGAATAGTAGTAAAGTATAATTGAATGTGTAAATATACTTTACTACTGATCTTCTTTTTGTTTCGTCTGCTTTTGTTTTAAATTTATTTTATTTGTTTATAACTGTGTTTTTTTGTTTTGATGTCTTATTAAAACAAAAATACTTTATGGAACTTCATGTTCAATAAACTCAAACTCAAATAAATTCTCTGCAACCAACTACTTTCAGAGATTACCATATTTGTAAATAGAACCTAACTGAACTTGATTTAATCTCAATAATAATAAAAACTGCCTTAGATCTTAGAGGAATATTAAGGAGCTCACAGCATCATGAAGACCAAGCAACACAGATGGGTCAGGGATAACTTTAGTAAAGATTAAGCAAAGTTAGGTTATAAAACGACATCCCACGTTTTGACCAACTCACAGACCAATGTTCCATCGTCTGAAGATTAAATAAGTAATTAACAACTGCAAAAATCTAGCAAGGCTTCTCCGTTCAAGTATTTTATTTATTATTATTTTTTTGCACTTCATTAGTCTGTTCTTTATGGCAAAACCCCCCAAATAATAGAGAGAAAACAAGTCCCGTTTAAAATGGTGTCCAACAACTTTTACATGTTTCTCCGCTTCAGCACATCGGAGTCAAGTGATAAGGTTGTTGGCAACATACTGGAGAACTTGACTGCATGCATTGATTTAGCTGAGGTTCCAAACCTCTGACCTAAAACATGTGGCACAGCGTGCCTTGAGGACCAGGGATGGAAAACACTTGGATGAAATCGTGGTTGTGTGGCAGAATGGCCCGTTCACCTTACTGACCTCTAGTTATTCCACAGAGAAGAAAAAGTAACACTGGTAGAGACATACAGCTGTAATTGACATGAGAAGTTCTTCAATGTATTGATTGAACAAATGTGCACATCTAAGTCCTTTTATTTCAACTTCACAATTATGCAATGCTTTGTGTTAATCGCATGAAATCCTATTATAGGCTACATGTTAAAATCTGTGATTTTAACTCAACGGAGGGTGAAAAAGTTGGAATCAGCTCAGGTTTTCATATTTTTATAATCATTTATCAGAATGTTTCAGTCAATAGCCTATAGATTTCATTGTCTTGTATATCAATACAAACCCAATATTTGGTGTTTATGCAGGACTAAAAGAGGCTTAGATGATCCATGTTTGGTTATACTTCAAAGTTTATCAGAATTAAATGCACTTGTGTAGCTTATTTGAGAAATTGAGTGATTTGAAAACAGAGCAGAGGTAAATAGATGTCAAAATACTCCTAAAATAGATCAGGAAATTGGTACTTTGGAGAGCAGAAACAGAGAAACAAACAATAAGTACTGTGCTACTTCAACAATGCACATGAAGATTTAGAGTAATGTGTGAGCACATGTAGTACAGGAGAATGTTTAAAAAAAAGGAGAAAATAGAAAACATATTTGAACAAAAAAATAATACAAAAGCTTTTAAACATTTGTGATGTTTAAAAGAAAGAAAACACCACAATGTATTTATTCTGAAAATAAGCTCTTTATTTAGGTGTGATGGGAAGGAAATACACATATGGGTCAGCAGTACAAAAATAATTCCCCACTGTAAAATTACCAAGAACATTCACGTCTTTGAAATGCAAACAAGCTCAAGTCTAAAGAAAATTGGCTCAGCAACTCTAAAACAGGTTCTTGCTGCTTTTATAGAGGCAAGTTGAAACTCCACCATGCACAAAGCACATATAATCAAAATCCAGAAACCTTGCCTAATCTAACTTTAAGCTTATTTAAGACGGACTGAGGCAAAGTGAAGGACTTTTCAGTCACCCAGTTCCTCCACATTGGTGCTGAGAGCGAAGGTGATGCAATGCAGTGGTAAACACCGTCCTAGGCTATGCTAACAAACATGCTGTAAACACACATTAACATTGAAGTGAAATGTTTGGACTGATTTATTTTTGAAGCATTAAACTGACCTTGGGCAGGCTTATGGACACACAAATGTAAACACTCCACCGTTCTGACCTAGACTGCTGAGAGAGTCTTCAGGCCACATTACATTGAATTAAATAATGTTTTATTTCACAGTCTGTGCGCTTGAGATGAAACATGTTATGATTATAGAGCTGTTATGATGCAAGTTCTTAGAAAAAACACATTTAGGGAATTTTAAAGGAGTGCACGTTAGAAAGCACTAATTTTCTCTTGCTAATGTTCAAAACTCAGCTAACAGAATGCAACATTGTCTTTTCCCTGTGCTTAGAAGTTTTCAAGGACTCTTAATATTTTTTTTTAGTTTCCCTCTTTGAAAAGTAAACAAATGAGTAGAAACTGTTAAATTTTCCCAAACTGCTATTTGGGAAAATCTAAAGTCTCTGACTTTTGTGTGCTGAGTTAGAGGTCAGAAGATGGAGAGCTAGACATGAAGAACGATGATGAACTGGCCATCGAGGACCAGCAAGTTGTGGCCAGTGCAGCCATTTTCTAATCGCGCCTATTCTTGTACAGTCTCTATCTACGGCTGCCATTGGCTGCTGGGTCGCCAGTCCTTCACAGGTCAACATAGGACTGGTACCCACACATGCATACAGTTATAGCTGATAGAGATCAAGTAACCAAAAATGAATGTTTTCATGCATTAATGTACAAATTACATGCAGAAAAACATCTAATGTGATCTATTTATGATTATTGTATGTATTTGGGAAGGTTTGTCGATAAAGCAGACTTAAATTGGGGCTAAGGGTAAACAAAGATGGTATTACATGTGGTTTTGTCATGTTACTTCCTCAAGCTTCAAAGGGTTTTATTGAGACTGAATGTAACAGTAACATCACAGCAATGCTTATAATTGTGAAATGGGGGAAATATGGTACTCATTTTCCAAACCTTTCTACAAAGAACAATCTGAAAAGTTTGATTTGTGTTTGGCTCCTGGACTTTGACTCCTCTCCAA